GCACATTTGCTATATTTTAAACTAAGGCAAGAGGTAGAAAAACACAACAGACTAAAAGTCTAAGGCGGTTGGCATAAAAATAAAATATGAGATTATAAATAGTGTTGCACAATGTTTGAGTTCCCTATAGGTTGGGTTAAAGAAATAACCTTTTGGATCATGTGATCTTTGTCGTTTTACCCTGTTAATAATAGAAAACATATATTCCATGTCCCAAATTTAGAGTCCTTGAGCACTTACATTCCTTGTCTATTTATTACATCTTTTATTAATTTAGTTTTTATTTTCTAGTAGAAAACACAAGTGATAATATTTCCTTGTAACTAAGAACGTGAAATGAATACAGCACTTCCGTAATTTATACACACAGTGTTGTATAAATATATCCTTGGAACTTTTGATTAAAGTGCATCTACAAATACAGACCTCATTTTCCATGTGCATGCATGTGTGGGAAATGTAGAAAATTTTCTTTGTGTCCTTATATGAGGACCCAGGACCCTCTTCAGATGATGTAAGCATCTGCGGAGGAGGATCTGTTCTGGAAGCTGGCTCCCTACATGCATGGATTTGCTCTCTCATACTGTAAAGCTGTTGACAGGAAGCAGTAGTTTTACATGTTGAAAACACTTGAAAGGAATATTTCAGTGAAGTCTTTTATAGACCGAGTGCTTTCCCTCAGCGTCTCAAAGAAGCAGTCACCAGAGTTGGAGCCCTACTTTGCTAATCATTTTTCTTACAGTGGTGGTTGTTATTTTTTTTTTCATGCATTTGCTTCTGTTAGCCACCTGTGTTGTCACAGAGACTTTAGGAGTTTAATGGATATGTCAAAAACAGGATGTATTTGCAAAACACAATTTTTATACTAGCATCACTGAAAAAATTTAAAAATTAATTAGAAAATCAAAAACTATATTTGCCACTGCTTTGTCTTGTTACTCTATTTATTCATTGTGTACGTGTGGTGTTTATAAGCATGTGGCCTATTAGCCTATGTGCATGTGTGCCTGTGTGGAAGTCTGTGGAAACCTTTGGTTGTCATGCTTTATCACTCTTTGAGGTATTCCCTTGAGACAGGGTGTCTTACTGAGCCTGAAGTTAAATCTTTTGACCAGAACTAGATGGTATTTGGCCCCAGCCATTTTCCTGTCCCCGCCATCTATACTGCTATCATTTGGAATACTCATGGCCCTGCCCATCTTTTTATGTGAGTGCTGTGCTGGGGGATTGGAACTCATGTCTGTATGCTGGTGAAACAAGTGCTCTTAACCACTGAACTATCTCCCCAGCTCCTTGTTTTCCTTTATCTCTCCTTCCTTTCCTTGTTTCTTCTCTTTCATTCTCTGCTATCCACCAGCACATTCCATTCTGGAACTTTCAGGAACAGTTGAATGTAGCCTTGCTGTTGATGGCCACAGACTGTCCTCCTAGCTCCTAACTCCATGGTCTATCTTGAGCTGGTGTTTCACCCATCAGTTAATGCCATCACATTGCAAACCCCTGCATAAACCCCAAATAAACACATTCACTCTGACACTCTATTCCTGGATGAGAACATTTTGAGATTCTGAAGTGTCTCTTGGAGCCTGCTTGAAGTGAGCCCAAGTTTCGTAACATACAGACTCCTTTTCTTGCCTCTGAGCTCTTCTTGTGTGGTTATCATGACTTAAAATGTAAGGAAATCTTTGGAGGCTTGCTCCATTTGCATGCAATCCAGCACAGTTAATAAGATGAGTACCACACCTTGTTTTTATTTTCCTATTCATAATTGATATATGCACTTTCAAAGGACATCATTTTTTTCTTCCTAAGAAGAATGAATGTGGATCACATGCAGTGGGGGCCCAGACACAGAGAGATGAATGGATCACATCGAAATACTAAAAGGTTCTGATCCTTGGGGAGGAAGGAGGGAAATAGCACAACCCCGATGCGCTATATTTTATCCATCCTGTCTGTGGAGGAATTAGGGTCAGGCCCCAGAAACTTTGCTCTATCAGCTGGTGTTTGTTTCAGCTCAGGTGGGGTGGGCTTCCCCTTTGATGGGTCATTTCCTCCTCTCCTATCATATTCCAGGCTGCATTAAGATGACAAATTCTCCTTAAAGACAGGGACATAGACATGAAAACTGGAGCTGTTTGGCAAACTGAGTGAGTGCAGATGAGCCAATTTATTGTGGGGAGAAAGGGGATGTTTGAAGAACAAAATAGATTTTGCTAACCTGGCGGTGCTGTAGAGCACACCCAGGATGCCTGCTTCTGCCCTGCTCTGTCTCCTCTCTTTGGGTAGGAATGCCAAAGAAAGTATCAAGAGTGTGGCGTGTGCAAGCCGAATGCTTTTTAAGGTCAAATAAGTACAATAAAAGTCTTACTTTCTTTCCTATCTGTGAACTCTGCAATAAATAATTCTCTTTAGAAGGGAGGGGTTAAAAAAAAAAGAAGAAAACTTGGCCAGTGAATGAGAAAGTCTATCAGATCAAACATGGCTGTGTTAAATACTAAAATGTTCAAAGTCCGACTGAGATAGATAAAGGCTTTGATGGAAAGAGGATATTTCCCAGGGATATTACAAGCCATAATCCAGATGTTATGGTGTAATGCAACGAGTGTCCATGGATAGATCAGGAGCTTCAGCCAAGCCGCTCCTGGTGCAGGCCTCAGCCTTGCCCTCTCATGCTGTTCTGCCATATGGAACCCATCTCCAGTCCCCTTAATAACCAGCTTTGGATTCCATTTTCACAGAGCTCATAGAGCTAAGTGGGACTGCTTTATGGACAAGTTACATAGAGGTCTTTCCAAGATAAACATCCAATTTGAAATTAGGACATACTGCACTGCAAAATTATTTTAGGGCATATTTCATGGACATGCTGCCATTTTTCTTAGGCAATTGCCAGGCTGTAGGATGCCCTTTGATCCTTTGTGGACATTACTCCCTGTTTTATAAAAGGGATTTTGAAATAGTTGCAGTGTTGAGGGAGGAATATATCTGTCGGAACTTTGAAGCATGGCCATGGGACAGGTCATGCTTTAGCTTGTTGGTTAGAAGTCAAACTTTTAAAAAGGAAAAGGCAGCAAAAGAGGGAATTACAGCAGAACTTATGAATCAAAATCTCATTTTTCCTTTAAAGGCAGACATGTCAGCTTGTGCACTCAATAAACTATAAAATGTGTAAGTGTATATTCTGTGTTTGTATGCACACGTGTAGATGTGGACAGACACAGATGTATGTGCTGTGTTATGTGCTGCTTTTGTGATGACTTTAACAAAGTCACTTAACTTATGCTGTTTTGTATCTTTTATTATTGAATATATCGTATAGAAGACCAAGTGACAATTAAGAATTAAGAAATAATCTTTGTTTGCTAGGAGAATAGTTTCTCTATTTAATTGTTTTCCATTTTCATTTTTAGTCTCTCTCTGTCTCTCTGTCTCTCTGTCTCTCTGTCTCTGTCTCTCTCTCTCTCTCTCTCTCTCTCTCTCTCTCTCTTGTGTGTGTGTGTGTGTGTGTGTGTGTGTGTGTGCATGTGTGTGTGCCTGTGAGTGTGAGTAAAAAATTCTCATGGTCATCATGGATAAAAGTTGGGAGTACACCTTTCCTTAAAAATTATTTTGTTTATGGTTATCATACAGTGTTCAGCAAAATACTCAGAGTAGCATGGAAACATTTCTTGAGAGTGGTGCAGTGACACAGTTGGATCAAGTAGGCTGATAGAATATTAATATGGACCTAACATACTACTTGTTAAGATAAATTGTGACTGGTGTTTGAGCAAATTGGCATCTAAATGACTACAAAGACGTAGTAAGAAGATGATGGGAATGCCTGCACGGAGTTAGCAGTGTGCTGCTTTGTTCTGATGCTAGGTTCCATTGACAGCCTTCACTCTGGTGATTTGTCCTCTAAAGAAACCATTTGTACTTGTTTCAGTTCTCTTATCAAGCAAACATTGGAAATGAGATCTGCCATCTAGACACAGCCTGTAGATCAGGAGGGAATCCCAATCCAACCAACTAAGTAGAGAGAAGCCACTCAGAGAGCAGGACAATGAAAGCCTCAGGGGGTGCTGATCATAATTGTGGCATTTTGGTTTTATAAAAACAAATGTGGATTTTCTTTTCCTAAAATGTTTTAGCGAGACAAACTGATGAAGGGAGAGATGAAATTAGATGGGTGGGATGTTGAATGTGGTGAGTAAGTGTATGAAGATTAGTTCCACCACTTTTTCTTTTTACTTTAGGGAAAGCTTAAAAATTATATAATGGGGCTTATAAATAATGCAGCCACCATCTCTATTGTTTAAGAATAGATATCTGTCTTCTTTCTATATGGTGTTTAAGGTATATATAAATAAAACCTTTTAGAAAAGGAAAAAGATAAGCTAAGAGTTACTGAGCCCACCTGGGCTTCAGGGACTCGGAGATGCTTCATTCGCCCCTTCTCACCTCACCGTGTCATATCTCCCCATCTGGACACACACAGCTTGTTTGGCCAGGTAGGTTATCATAAGCTACACTTGGAGTTGTGGCTCCTCTCACAGTGGCATGGGGATTTTTAAACACTAGCCTGAAGAATGAGGGAGAGGAAGGATACATTTTTTAATATGATAGATAAAATCACAATCATTATCGGTAAATATCCAGAAGTGTTTTGTCCCCCAGAGCTCTGCTTCTAAGGGTGCCTTCTGCCCTTCCAACAAGTCAAACAGCCAAGGCCAAGTTCAAGGATGTCTATGAAAGGGCTCATCTGAGTGGGAGTGCAAACCAGAGCCACATCCACGTGTTGTTTGCACCTATCTTTTGCTAGATTGGAAGCAAGTCACGGAACTGGGAGCATGCATTTGCAAAACCAAGCAATTATAAGGCTTTTCCCCAAGCCAGAAACAACTTCAGGCTGAAACAGGGAGGTGGGCTGGAATTCCCGTGACTGCCAGACTCACTTTCAAGAGCAATCAATCTGTTTACATGATTTATTTATTTATTTATTTATTTATTTATAGTCCTCTTTGATCCGCAACCTACGTCTCTCAGAGTCCCTGAGAAAGAACCAACTCTGGAATGGGATTATAAGTATAACTCTGTTGGAAGGGAAGAATGTCTCAGGAGGGAACATGTCAGAGATGTTTGTCCAGTTAAAACTGGGAGATCAGAGATACAAGAGCAAGGTAAGTTCTGTTAATTAGTCAAGGATGACATTATCTTTCCAAGCGATAAAAATGAAAAATTTTCCTGCTTTATATTTCTCAAGAGGGAGCCAGCTTATTTTTAGCCTTTCCCCAGCCATGTTAAGTAGCATCCCAGAAAACAAAGTAACTGTATAGATCAATTAAACTGATATAAGTATTGCTTAGTGCCATTTGTTTTTAGAGTATTTCAGAGGTAAAGAATTTATATTCATGCATTTCAGATGTAAAGAATCTTATTAAATTATAGTTCTGGATGTATGTTCTGTTTTCAGTTAGAGAAGAAGCAATGTGGTCTTCAAAGAACTATAGGTAAAGGGTAGTTGAGTGTTCTTCATTACTCTAAAATAAAGCAACACACTATTTGATAACAATCAAATGTTGGAGATAAGTTAAAATAGTTTTCAAAACTGTATGTCTGTTCCCCTGTTAGTCTTAGCACCAAAACTAGATGTCTGTTATTTCTGCGTTTTGCTTTTTTGTTTGTTTTGTTTTGTTTTTTGTTGTTATTGGTTCCCCCCCATAACAAATCACATAAAGTACTAAAAGATAACCATGCTTTTAACTGTTTTTTTTTTTAAATAAATTGTCTGATCCTGTCAACCCAAATGCCATATAGTTCTTAATCTTAGGAATTTGGTGTGGATTGAATTAAGAAACAATCATTTTTAAACCATGGAAATTAATTAGTTTTCATCTTTATACAACTGTTTAATAACTTCTAGATAGGAATATCTTGCAAGTTTTATGAATTAAAGGGTCTAGAGTGGTTGAAAATTTTGCCACTTTCCAAAGCCCCCCACCCCCAGAATCCTAGGTCTTGAAAGAGCACCCGAGGATATTTGCACTGGGCTTCTTGGCATCCAGGAAGCAGCCAAGTTGTAGACAACTTGGGAAAGGAGACAGGAAGGCAAGAGGTTGGGTGCTGCCTAAATTTCAGTGCAAAAATCCAACATTTGACATCCTTTACTCCATAGTAAAGGAGTGGGAAGACAGGCACACATCAAACAAGTATGTACAAAAAAAGGAAAATCAGTGTGAGTCAGATCTGAAATATACAGATAATCACTTCTAACAGATCATTTCAGGCAGAGCCAGTCACTGAATATACTGGAATGATCACTTCTCTCCATTGAGAAGTCTTCAGCCACTGGTGGTCAGGCTTAGCATTTCTGGACAGCTTATTCATCTCTATGACAATTAGCTAATCAGTAGGAGGTGAAGTGTAGAGTTAACCAATGTCCAGCACATTCCCTATGGGAAACACTACATTGTATTTTTATTTCGAAGACATGTTTTCTTCTTAGAACCTAAAGTCTGTGACCTGATATGATAAAAATGGTATAAACCCAGCTCAAAAGTGTTTACGTGACATGACAACAGCTGAGGTGTGAGCTGCCCATGCTTTCTCATGCATGGAAGTAGTTGGTGCTGACTTAAGAGTTGATCCGTGGGCTTAGAGCCCAGACTCAGTCACCAATGCTTAAAATACTTATTCACAAATTAAATCTCTATGAAAGAAAGAAAAATGAAGAGTCTTTCAGCAAAGCCATGCCATGGGCAATTTGTTCACGCTTAGAGAACACGGGAACATGTATGCGATTTTCTATAACTTGACTAATTTTCCAGTATTATAGAGTGGAATTGTCTAGTTTTCCCTTTGCCAAAGCATTGCAATTCAGTATCTTTGGACTGAAAAGAAGTCAGCTCTGTGCTACTATATGTTGTAGCGTTCTCATTCAATGTGTCCACCAAGTGTTAGTTTATCTGATGCTTAAGCCGGGTCTGAAATATGCACCAACACAGACATTGCTTGCATTTGTCTAAACAGTTAAAAATGCTATCTTCTGTAGGAATGGGCCATTGCAGATTATTTATATGTATCCACTGTATGTTTGTGTGCTTTTCTACAGTTTCTTATGTTAGTCTTTTTAACTTGATGGAGAACTTGCTGCATTTGGGATCAGTTAAAAGAATAGTCATATTTTGCTAAATCCCAAAGTTAAGTGTACTTTTGCTAGGAGACCCATCCCATCATGGTGACTTCCTGCCCTATAGACATGACATGTTGCTGCTGTAGCCAAGAGCGACCTTCTGAGAAAGTAAACCCTGTAACTGCATGTTTTCTAGACACTGTGTAAGAGTGCAAACCCGCAATGGCAGGAACAGTTTGACTTTCACTACTTCTCTGACAGGATGGGCATTTTGGACATTGAAGTGTGGGGAAAGGACAGCAAAAAGCACGAGGAGCGACTGGGCACGTGAGTCACTCTGCTACTAATGGGGTGGGAGCTCCTGTCTATAAAGTGCTAGCTCTGAAAGAATGTCTTATCTGTTCAGGGTGGGAGTGGACACCCATCCCCTACCTCAGGGAGCAAGCAGGAAGCTGGGTAGCCACTTAATGTTGGAGGGGTATTAGTCAGTTTTCTCGTTGATGAATGCAATTCAGTATTCTAGTCAGGTTTTAAAAATAAGAAAATAGAATTGTTCCTCCTCATCTATGGGGAGCTCATTCCAGGAACTCATGATTGTAATAGCATATTCAAAGGTCAGAGTGCATGGGGCATGTGCCCTATTTGCACCAGGTACCACAGATGCTTGTTCATCTTACATGATTTTATCTCTGGGTTACAAGTGATACCTAATATAATGTAAAAGCTATGTAAGTAGCTGTTAGATCCCAGGGTGACTTCATGCGGTTACTATGGACATATTGTTTAAGGCAAATATTTTATTCAAGGTTGGTTGAATCCATGCATGTGGACACTGTGTACTCAAAGGGCCCACTGCAGTCTGTCCATCATGAAGTCTCCAGAGGAAGTTATGTGCCGTCTCAGACCATTGGGACAAGTCCAGAAATATTTGCATGATTTCATTTGAGTTTTACAACATATTGTGTGATTTAGCGGAGGAAGACAGTGAGTTGTTCCCCAGGATAGAAAAGTTTCAACGTCCCTGATGTGTTTGGTGATAAACTATCATAGAATCTGAAGCAGCTAAAGGTACTACTCTATTATTTGTTTACTTTAGAGGTGGTCTAAAATAAGCAACTCAATTGAGGTGGTCACTCATAGGTAAAAGATTATAAACATGATAATTATAGTTTCTTCATAGGATTGTAGTGAGTAATGAAATAAAATCTCAAGCACCGTGCCTGGCCTGTAGTGGGCACGGGGGAAACACTGGCAGACGTTCACCTTATGTCTGATCTCAGACAGCAGAACCCTACAAGCTAGGGAGAGCAAGTTGTCCGGTGATGTGGCCTTGGGCTTGTCAACCATGAATTTCCCCGGCCAGGATTTGGGATTTTTAAGGATCCCATTCTTTATATCAAATCATTCCCTTTAGTTTTGCCCCATAGATGTATAATTTGTGAACATACCTTAAATGATAAACACAAATGTTTAAAGGGATGCCAGAAGCTACTGGTTGTCGGCTTCCAGCCTGGAACCTCAGCTCAAGGCTATGTGCCGAGCCACTGCTAAGGGAGGAGAGAGAAGCTTTCTCCTCTCCTACATAGCCAGTATACCTCGATATTTGGGATGCCAGCCAAAGACAGGAATTTATTACTCAAAACTAAAAATAAAATAACTTATATACTTTAATCCATGCATTTTACAATGAGGGAATGCTAAACAGGACAGTAAGGAGTTCTGAGGGATACTTGTCATTGGGCCTGCTAAGCAATTCTTCAGACAGTCTTCTTTTTCTATGCAGCTCTTGGTGCAGGGTGTGTGACCCTGCAATGCAGTGTTATCCCTTCTTTCTGTCTCTATATCATCATTTCTGAGGCAGTTGCAAGAGGAATTCAGCATCCACAGAATTCCTCCCTTGTTTCTCAACACAGCTTTCCTTTACATGTTGTTCCCTGACATGTAACAAGATAGTGGTAGCAGACTGCTGGCTGTCAACCACCTGACACCAGTGACTTCCCATAGTTACCCAGAAACAGGAATATGGCTGTGCACACGATGTCTGCATTCTATTATGCATGACCAGGTACCCACTAAGGGAATAGCCAGCCAGAAGCATGGCAGTTTCATTTCTACCTTTCACCCCGTACTTGCCCAACACCATTGGCTTTGCCTTGCAGATCTTCTCACGTATACTCTGCTGCCTGTCTGCTAGGCAGCACTCATGACTTTTCTAGGTCCACTGTGCTAACTGGGTGCAAAAGCATAGCAACCTGGACCATGCCACATATCACAGATCCAGCAGTAGTGGGCTGGTGTTTGACAGTCACTTCATGTCCAGTCACTAATCTGATCTTGCTTCTTTCCCAGTATCTCCAACATCCTCAGCTCTCTGACATGCCAGAGCCCTTTCAGTATCACGGGCAGTAGGATCAGAAAGTTGGGATAAGGCTAAGTTAGGAAACTCAGGGAACTCTCTGTCCCAAAGTATTATCTGCACAGAGGGTATATTGGGCCTCCTGTGATGAATGGCCCAGAGTTATTTTAGTAGGCGCAAATAATAATGCCTTGCTTGTCTCATGTCATTGCATTGTCATGTTTCCGTCACATAATAGGAAATGCTTTTTCAAATGAGTGTTATGTGGCTTTGCAGAGACAAAAAAATAACTGAAGACGTCCTGTGTGGCCTATGTTTTGTCATTTGGTTATTCATTTATTATTTTAGCCATTTCCTGTTTGTAACTGAGATGTATACCTGTCTTCGCATAATTCTGTACTTCCTCTTTGCTGATTGGAAAGGGTTTTATTTCTTTTTTGGGCATCCTTTTCCTTTTTCCAATCTTGCAATTCAAAAGATAACAAAAGAGCCTTTTGGGAGAACTGACTCTGGACAGCATAGTATTGCTGTGAATATAGGTGGACAGAAGTCTTTGCTCACATAGAATACCCCTTCTCAGGTTTAATGAAGACATAAGGGCAGGACAAGGTGCCCTGGCTTTTCTAATTCTACTACTCAAGAGGCTAAGCAGAGAGGATCATGAGTTTGAGGCCAGTCTGGGCTGCACAGAAAACCCTGTCTCATAGATAAGCAAAAACACAAACCATTGTACCAGCATGCAGTTATTTCAGGCAAGTTACTTATAGACCATCCTTATGACTTTATTTTTTAGTTTCAACTTTAAAAAATTGCACAGCAGTGTCTGTATGTGCAGGTTTGTATATGCCAAGATGTTCAGGTGGAGCTCAGAAGGCAACTTCCGGGAGCTGAATCTCTCCTTCACCATGGGCTCACAGGTTCAAACTCAGATCAGAAGGCTTGGACAATAAGCACCTTGAAAGTGTCTTTACCTACTGAGCAATCCCACCAGCCCAAATTTTCAACATTTTTGTTCCCCACAGTTTATTTTCCTTTGTATTATTCACTGTAAGACTTAGCTATTCTTGCTTCAACTATTCAAAATCTAAGAGTCTATAATAGTGTAAACAGATACTCACTGTATCCTGATACCCATTTTCCATTTTTTTTGAGAGAACAGTTGTGTTAATACTTTCAAACCTCTCTAAGGAAGTTCTCCTTTGTGACGATTCCCATTGTAGATAATTTGATATGGGAAAGAAACATCATTACTTACGTGATTTTGGTAAAGAACTCACTGTGTGTCTATTTTTCTGTGTAATGGAATTCATGGCCAACATTCAGGCCAAAAACAGTAGCAATCTCTGCAGTTTCATTTCAAATATTTTAGTTATTAAACACTGAAATAAATCCAGCCTTCATCTACAGAAAAACAAAATCTGAACCATTGTATAGTTAGAAAACTTGAAAGAAATGTAAACTTTAATCTTCTTGATTTTCTAGGTTTTTTTTAGGTGTAATTACTTAAATTAAAAGAGATAATTTAATTATGTCTATATAATCATCAATAGCATATTTGAATGACTTTTAAAAAGTATATGATACCATAAAAAAGAAACAGTAGCAATATTCATTGATGTAGTGTACAGTGAGCGTTATATTAGTGTTAACAATTTTGGAAATTTGCTATAAAGCAATTATAGATCTATATAAAATTTAAAGCTAAAACTATTTAGTTCAAGTAAATTAAATGTAACCAGTAAAATTCAGTATGTTTTTTAAAATGTAGACTGTGTGTGTGTGTGTGTGTGTGTGTATGTGTATGTGTGTGTGTGTGTGTACAGAGGGCATGTTCAAAGATATTTACTGACTGGAGGATGAACAGCACCATTCAAGATTCAGGGGTAGGGTAGCCTTTGCTTATAGGAGCTGGGCTCAAAACACAATGGTTGTTTTTAGATTGCTTCTTCCCTTCGTCTATGTTTGGAGGTATCTAGAGCCAGACTTCCTCTCTGCTATTGCATACCCACCCACAGGTTATACTTGACCTTTAGTAACTCTCAAGAGGGGTGGAAGACTATGTTTTCAGGGATCATTTCTATAGTTCGTCAAGATGGGGTGGATGGAGCCCCAAAGATGAACTTGCGTTCAGCAAGAGCCAATCTCCCTTGAGAACGCACTATCTAACTCACTATTTTATTTATTGTTTTACTGGCAAAGCAACTATAAAAAGAAATCATCAGATCTGAGGCAGGGTGCGTGAACTTTCATAGAAAGGAATACATAAGCCCAAGAGAAGCCAGTGCCAGCTATGTGTGCATGTGTTACAATATAACTAACAATACAAGCAAATAACAAGCCCTAAGAATCCTCCTACTACCACCGGCCCCCAGCACAGAGTTAGTTGTGAACACTATGCCCCCTTTTATGTTTGTGCTGAAGGTCTGGAATCCTGCTTCAATGGCAATAGCTTTACCTGCTCAGCCATCCTCCAGCCTCTGTTATTAATGAAACGAAACTGTACAAAAAAAACCCAGAATATCAATTATTCCATTTCTGTGCTGTTTCAAAGAAATCATTTTCTTAATGGATACGTTCCATTTCACGGTGATTGTAGAGATTCTGTTTCGTAGAATAACTCTGAACTAAGTTCGCCGAGGTTTAGACTGAGAATGCACACTCCTGTTTTGATCTGCCTCCCAGTCATTCCTCGGTCCCAGATGGCGTCTTAAAGTGGCTCTGACATCCTACCAGTTTATTAGTGGCTTTGAAGCAGTGAACAATCCAGGCTGGAATATTTCTCTGGACAAATTGCAGCCCATGTCGTTGATCTGCTTTTACAGCCAGGCTTGACACATTCCCCGTTCTCTTCCTGTTCGCCCACATCCTCGGTGCCTGAGATTTACAGCTTTTCAAACTGTAGCACTTTCCTGCCCCTTGCATTTAAGCTAAAAGCCGACCAGTCTGTAATATAAAACATGGAATTATGTTAATGAAGAAGAGGTTAAAAGCTACCAAGGCAAGTCAAAGTTGGGCTGGTTTGGCTGACTGATATGGTAAAATTATGTGTTGAATTAAAACATTAAAATGTTGTGGGATTAATGGAGAAAGACAAGAATGGGAGGTCAGAAACAATGCTAAATCAGCACTTTAACAGCCTGTAGAGAAAGAGGGAGGCTCTACTAAATGTCTGTTGTAGGAAAAAAAATAGTAAGAGTAATTCAGTCTCCGTTTCCTTCAGGTAAGGAGACGTGGAATTCTCAACCTCAAACCCAGAAAATCCATTTACTTCAGCTTTTTCTTTTCTATTCTGGGGAGGAATGATGGCTGTGAAATAATTAACCAAAGGGATAGGTTTCTATCATTTGAAATTGGGGGAGTAGTTTTTCTTACCCCACTGGCAATTGTTCGTTTGAGCATTAGTTTTTTTCATCAGTACAGAGCCCTCTTGTGTTCTGCACAGGCTTCAAAGCAGTGAGGATTCATTATGAAGTAATGAGCGCAAATCTCCTGCCCTTATGTACTAAATTTTTGGTGGCTGCAAGGAGCCAACAGTGTCTCTAACATTGGTGTGAAAGTTGTGGATCCCAGAATCATGCAAATGACCTTGGGATTCTGGCTAACTGTGGACAGCATTCCGAAACAGGGTGATATAAACAGAGATTTGTAAATTGAGTTAGCTGAGATGAGGGGAGTGAAGGCTGGAGGGATGGTGCCATGGACCAAATGGCTTGCCATGTAAGCATGGAGAGTTCAAATCACAATAAGCAGTGTAAAAGCCAGATGTACAGTGTGAACAGCTGGAATCCCAGTACTGCTATAGGGAGGCGGAGATGGAGATGGGGGAGTCCCAGGGAGCTTGCCATCCAGTCATCCAACTGTATTCCACAGAAAAAGAACAAAGAGATCCTGTCTGAAACAAGGTAGGACCAGTTGCTGAAGTTGCCTTCTGACCTCCACATGTTCCCCGTGGTAGACCCACCTAGGAAGTCAGTACAAATACAGGCAGGTGCCTTCAGAGGAGACGAGCTCCTTTGTTCAGTAGAATCCAGAGAGGTGGGAAAAGGCTGATAGTGTCTCTGGATGAAGTTGAAGAATAAGGCAGGGCATGTAGCCATGGAATCCTATGTCATATTGATGAATGCAGCAACTTCTCTCTAGGTGTGCATAAATCAGTGACCATTCTGCCTTTATTTCCACAAGGTGAATCTTTGAATTGTACCCATATTCCTGTCAACTCCTTTTGCTAAGATCTGAAGATAGAATGTGTGTTTTCTGCTTCCCCACAGGTCCTGTGGGTTGAATATCCTGTTTGTCTAGAGAGGGTCACTAAACTTGCACAAGAAGTAAAGCATGACACTCTGGTGACAGCTATACTTCCTTAATGGTCATTAATCAGATTTCTTATCAGGGAATTCTGAGTGGTTGAGTTTCTTACAGAGCAACTTTAAAATAGTGTTTCTCTATCTCTTTCTATTAGCAAACAGATCATTGGGTATTTTTGGCTCAGCTTCGTAGGGTATAGTGGGATAATATTTTTTTGATTTCTTAGGTTAATGTCTCCCATGCCTTTGTTGTTCTGACTTTATTCCCTTCAAGCAACCTTGCAATTAAAAGTACTTCCACTGGTGTAGTTCACCACAGCCCAAATGACAGTACTCCTGTGCATCAAGACTGACAAATAGAATCCAGGAGTCAAAGCCTGCTTTTGAGTCAATGAAGCTTTATTAGAAAACAACCTCATTCGTTTACATTGTTGTACTGTAACTTTTGTGTTATAAGAAGAGAGTAGAGTAGTTCCAGTCCAGATGATGGTCCACAAACTACAGCGAATGATTTCTGCGTCATCACAGAAAAGAGTTCACTCCATGTGAGAATATCCTGAATGCTGCCCATAACAGGCCAACAGGCTAATTCCATGACTTGCTCATAAGAGGTAGAGAGGATGATTTTTTTAATCATCCTTGTATCTGGTACAGGCTAATCCTGTAGCTACGTACAACAGTTAGTGGGGGAAAAGAAAACACAGGAGCAGCTACAAGCAAGCAAGCAAGCAAACAAACAAAAACTGAACTAAAATTATTTTGTATATTCTCTGAGACAAATGCATTGCAGTAATGGGGATGAAAATGTTCCAAATGTAATGTGTGAAATTCTCAAAGAATCAATAAAACTATTTAAATACACAAAAAGAGGATCTTGGATTTTAAGTAGTGAAGACATCTTTAATTGATTTTTAAACATATAACTTACATCTTGAGGAGTTTAGATTTGCTTTGTTAATAAAGAACACAAGCATACCCTCTCACAATGAGCCAAAAAGGTATTTCCTCCAAATCTTCAGATTTACATCTTAGCAGATAACTAGGAATTGGTAACTGAGCATCACATGGAGCAATGGCAGTTTTAACACTCATGAATAAGCAGACAAAACATTTCCAGTTTGATTAATTTAGGGAAAGTGTGTCTGCCTTCCAAACCAAAGTTTCCTAACAATGGAAAATAATACTCATAGGTATATATACTCCTGTAATATTAATAATGTGGGAGTTTTTAGTTTTTAAAAGATGGCATATAATACTTGTTATTTTTCTATTAAGCATATTTGGTTTCTCCACTTAAACAATTGCTTATAAAATAAAACTATTAAGTAACCCCTGTTTTCAAGGGCAGAGGTATACTTTATTTTACAAAGGCTTCTTATTGCTATAGAAAATATTACTTTCATTAAAAGCATGGAAAATTAAATATATTTATATTATAAATTTTCTCTAATAGAAACATTTGAGACTTTACTATATACTATATATAATATAAACTAATATAACATAAATCATGTATACCACATATAAAACATCATATATTATAAATATATAATAAAATAAATATAAATTATATATATAAAATAATCAGTACCCCTTCCTATAATTGGGTTACTTTACATAAATACCAACCAAAAACCTATGCATGCTTAATGTTAGAGTCCCTGGTTAGCATGTGAATTTTGATCTTGTAATGAAAATGGAAATAGATTGGTAACTTATTTTCCCCCTTTTTGATTGTGAGGGAAACCGCAATTGTCCCAGTTAATTGCTTTCTTTACTGTAAGCTTACCTACTCCTGCTTTTCTGCTAACACACAAAGTCCCTTAAAAAGTTAGAATAAAATCTGTGTTAGCTCATTGTGAGAGGCAGTGCTTCTGTTCTTTCCAAAAGTCTTGAATATTCATCATATTCATAATTGTACAGAGTCTCTGAGAATTGTATAAAATAATTAAATCTCAGTGCTTCTATCGCCTGCCTCCACCTGCCCCCCAGTGCTTTCTCGGCTTCTTCATCCACCTGCATCCTTAAACTTAGAAGGTGTGGTTCAGGCAAAGCAGGAGCTTTCAGTGTGGAAGCCAGCAAACAGCTCAGCACCTAAGTGTCCCCCTTTGGAGAGTTTGCTTCCATGTTTAAATACGCTTGAGGTTGGCTCTTAAGAGGAAAAAGCTCTGCAATTTATAGCAGATGAGTACAATGCTGTCAATGCTGCAGAGACAGATCAATCAACAACCCTTCTTGCTTCATTTGCCCATGAGAAACTCACCTGGGGAAGCCTGCCTATTAGGAAACCACCTCAACATATTTCTATAACTAGAAATTTGCCAGTTGACTTTAATAAGTTGGGAAGAAAATGATTTCTGCATCCACTCTGCCTCCCCATGTGGTAATCCTGACTTTTCTGTTTCCTTGTGCAAACTCCTGAGCTTTATTTAGGGTAGGGAAGTCACAGGGAAAACTTACTCCCATGCTCAGTCACACTCCACAATACTCCTCGCCCTCATTCTTGATCGTACTGTCATCCTTTTGTGGCCCTTATTTGGCAAAGACCTGGCATCTTTTTTTTTCCTTTGCCATACTCTATTATTGCTTTTTTTCATTTTTTCATTGTCTTTAGTGAAAGTGAATCTTTAATTTAGAACACATTTGGTCAAGAGACTACCCTGAGCCAAAGGAGCTCTGGCAATCTTCCCCGATCAATAACCTGTATCCAGACGGTGAAGTTTGGTTGTGAGGAAATATGTGTGAGACGGGGTCTCTGGAGGTTCGCTATGGCATTGGATTAATCCCTGCTTTCCCTATCTCCTAAAATGTTTCTAGGTGTAAAGTGGATATTTCAGCACTCCCGCTGAAGCAAGACAACTGCTTGGAGCTACCTCTGGAGAGCTGCCTAGGGGCTCTCATCATGTTGATCACCCTGACTCCCTGCTCTGGAGTTTCTATCTCCGACCTCTGTGTCTGCCCCTTAGAGGATCCCAGCGAAAGGAAGCAGATATCCCAGCGATATGTGAGTGCATTGCCTGGTCATATTGCCCCTTCCTCCCTCGATTCTCCCACCAACTTGCACTTTGAAGTTGAAACCAAGTCAGGCATTTAAGAAACTACCAACAGAGATCTTGGGGGCAACTTCAATTCTATGTCTCATAAAATAAGACAACACATGTTGGTGCATTAGAAAGGAGTGAAGGGAGGCTTGGAGTTGACCTTGCTGTTGCAAAACAACAAAAAGCTGTTTGCAAGTTGCTGCAGGATACTCTAGGAATACTAGTTTAGCCTGTCTGTGGATGTGAGTGGATATTTGAACAGAAAGAACTTCATTAGAGGAAACTTTCTAAGCAACTATAAATGTTCAGCATGTTTTATAGAGAGAGTTTTTTGTTGTTTGTTTGTTTTTTAGGATGGGGGGCTGTGCCTGGTTAAAGCATGAGGTTGATGCAAAGGACTTTATTCTATACCACCTTGATGGTGACATCAGTGTATGACCGTTTCTAAGTACTGTCATGTGCATTTATCTGTCGATTTCTTTCTTGAACGATAGCCTTCTAGGTGTCTTTATTTCCATCATTTTTTTTCTTATTTTCTCTCCCCCTCTTGGTAAACAAACACATGTTATGTATTTTTTTCCTTGGAAGAAAGCAGAGGCCTGGAAGGCAGAACCAAGATGAATCTTTATTCAATGGCCACATTGTTCTCAGGATAGAGTTTAGTACCTCCAGAAGTCTTCGTTGTGCAGGTGTTTTGAATTGAATAATTAATTTAATTAATTAATTAATTCAATCTTCCTGAGGGAAAATTCTAGACCTGCATGTCATGTCAGCATGGAGTCTGTGTGTCCGTTTGTTATATTCTGAAGATGTCTGGGCAGAATTCACTATTGATGTCCCCTCTGAGGACTTTATTTAAGTCAATGGAAGGTGAAAATGAATATGTTCCTCAAGTGGACAGTGGATTGTGAAATTTATGTGGATTGAAATTCAAGGGCATTGTGAAATTGATGAAGCATGCTTTATATTTATAAAAGAATGTTTGTGGCATCATAATGACTGCTTCAAATAATGTCTTAGAATTCGAGGTTACTAAGAAAGTAGACATCCTGAGTTTCTTCAGTGAGCCAGCATGTTTGAGAGAGAAAGAATCCACTATCACATGGTCTTTACATATAGCTCAGGCTGTCCTAGAACCAACTGTGTAGCCCAGACTTGTCTCAGAACACAATCCTCCTACCTCAGTCTTAACATTGGGATTACAGGTACACATGGCCACCATCCTGGCAGAGTAGTGTAGAAAACATTTCTGTCTTTACATTATGGAAATACCCATTCCCAAAGCTTCCGTATAGCTCAAAAACTAACTGGTTGGTTTGTCTAGAGAACAAATACAGGGAGACCATAGTTTTCAAAAGTTCTTAGAGCTGCCTCATGTTAGATTAGGCTAAAAGTACTTATTATTAAACTTTTGATGTTTTCCCCTCACAAGCCCAAATAGCAAGGGTTTTACTATTGTCTCTTAAGTTTTCAGAGCCTGCTTGTCCCACCCTTTTGGCTATTTAATAATGATGGCAACAGTGTTGAAGGCTTTGAAGCTACATTTTTGTTTTCAATAGACGACTTTTGTAAGCATGGGAATAGGTACCCGCTTATCTCTGATACATGTGTTTTCAAGGATGCTGTGTAAGTACAACTAAATTCTTCGGTATCAGCTTCAGAATCATAAGTAAATGTGGACCATGTTAAATAAAGATTAAAGAGAATGTGACTACAGGGTGGTACTAGAAGCCCAATTGTTCATTTAATGAATGGAAATGGTTGAATCATAGATCAGGAAACTGAGTCTAGTTCTGTCCCGGATTTCTTTCCCTTAGTAGTAAGCATTTATGAGGAGATGAAGGTTAGTCCTGTGGTATCCATAAAGTTAATAAAAACAAGACCAGCTTGAATTTGCCTTTAAAGGTGATTGAAAAGTTGCATTAATGAGAAAAGGCAGGGGAGAAAGAATGTAATTCCACCCACCCATTTTCCCAGTGGGTTATCTCTGCTAGCACCAGGGGGCGATGTTAAAAGCAGATTGTGAGTGCTTCTAATTTGTTTATTTTGAGGCTGCTGTTAATTAATTCTCAGTCAATTTTCTTCTAATCTGGCTGTGATACATGCCTAACGGGCCTGGTGCCTGACATAAGACAGCTTTGCAGCTCTTCTAAGAATTTCATAAGGAAGGGGGAGATAAATCGGGAACATACTTCTGGGGGAACTTCAAGATAGGAGCGCAAAGAGTAAGCCATTCTCACTTGTTTGTGACCTCCTTTGTCTCTGCAGGCCTTACAGAACTCACTGAAGGATGTGAAGGATGTTGGCATTCTACAGGTGAAGGTTCTGAAGGCGGCAGACCTCTTGGCAGCTGATTTCTCAGGTACAGAACACAAGACCTTTCATTCACTTTTTTATATCATCATTCCTCTGGCTTCAAAGTGGGCTTTAGGCAAAACAAGATGCTTAATAAATTTTGAATAAAGCAATGGGAGGCAAAGCACACACGGGAGCAATTGTTTCCTCACAATGCACATTTTCCACAAAATAATTTCTTTTCAAATAATGTTACTCAGATGCATTCATGTAGTGGTTCATTTGGGATTCCAAAATGCTAATGGATTGATTGCCTCATAGTCTCAGCTTTTGTACTAAACTATGGTTTGGGCCCTGCTTTGCTGTAATCCACTCTTCAGCAGGCAATGCTAGTTCCTTGTTGGTTTCAGCATCACCCAGTTAGTGACCAAGGTTAAGTCCCTGGGATGGTTTTCCACTTCTTGTTGAACTTTAGGAACACTGACACTTTTAGAACTTGGCTCGAATGGATCTTCTTTGTGCCACAGTGGACTCTGTAGCAGGTACAGGCTTCCAGACATGGCAAAGTCTGATTGGTCACTTCCCACTCAACCCTACATTACACCAAATCCAAGTGAAGGGTTAGCAGTGTCTAATCTGGATTTATAGGCAGTGTGAACTTCCTGATGTGGGTGCTAGAACTCTAACCTGGGTCCTCTAGGAGAGCAGAAAGTGTTCTTAGCTTGTGAACCATCTCTCTGGCTCTACATTAAGTTTTACTATGTTGAAAATTCATGTGACCAAGTTTTAAGAAGCTTAAGCTTGACAAGAATTTTAATGTTTAATCACATCCTTTGTCAAGAATTATTGAAAATAGGAACTTAATTTTAAGAAGTTCACCATGCCACAGGTGGTAAGGAAGGACTGCTATGTACTTTATGAAATGATTTATCTCCAACCCAAGGAATGTCACAGTGAATAGATAAAAGATGTGTTTTATGACCTACTAAAAGATAGCAATTTAAGTCTTATAGATGAAACACTCAACATGTTTTTTTTACACATGTACTTGTGTATAGTATGTGTTTGCATATATGTGGGTAGGTCTATGCATAGGTACATGTGCATGCCCCCCTTCTTTTGTGTGTGTGTGTGTGTGTGTGTGTGTGTGTGTTCAGTTCCGAGTTTGACATGTGATAATCATTCTTAATTGCTGTCCACCATAGATTCTGAGGCAGGGTCCCTTGTTGACCTCCAAGCTCACCATTTCCGCTAGTCTGTCTACTCAGCTTCCTCTAGGGATTCCCTGCCTCTGCTGCCCTCATGCTAGGATTGCATCCCAGTTTTTACTTGGGTTTTGCAGATCTAAGCTCTGGTTCTCACAAGTGTACAGCAACACTCTATTGATTGAGCTACCTTCTCAACCCTCAAAGGAATACTTGTAGTATTCACTAATGTAGCTGTATATGTGAATGGATTCATTAAAGAAGACATTCTCCTTTGTTTTCATGTATGGACTGAGAAAACATTCACTGTTACATTTGTGCCTTTATGGGGTGCTACTTTTATTCATGACTTATTTAAGATTAGTCTGCAGAATGATGGGTTTTATTACAGCATGTCATTAGACTCACGTGTGCCTTGATGATATTTAACATGTGCCTTTGATTTTCATGGTTTGCCATCACTAAAACATACTCTGTGTTATCAATTTATTTTCCAAAATGGATTATTTTTACTGTATTTAGATACAACTCTTCTTTAGCCCATACTTATTATTTTCTTAGGAAATATCTTAAGCAAGAATGCATTTATGTATTAGAGCAGATTGTTTTTAAAACCTCTTTTTGCAGTTGTAGAATTTTGATTCCCCAGCAACTAAGGATAGTGCATCCATGACTTTGCTGTTTCTAAGGCCTTGCTTACAATTATGTCAGCTTTGAAAATAGTGTATGTGACCTGCTTCATTTTTACCCATCCTGTCTTCTGATGCCCATGAGGCCCCTGAAATTACCATGGATGATAGCTCTTTCAGGCCACTGAGCATTAGCCAAAGAGCACTTTGACTAGTTAAACAAATGAGGATGTAACTCCAATGCCAGTCTTTGCAAATGCCAGAATGTAAGGTGAAACCCTTTTTATTGAATATTAACTAGTAAGGAGATTTCTAACTAATTTTCTTTTTAAAAACCATTCAAAGTATTCAGTTGATCATTTTGGAATGCTGATGGTGTCACAGCACAGCACAGTGGTGAAGAGAGCAGTTTTGACTAAACACTCTTGTGTTTTCTCCTGTATATTATTAATGAGCAAATTATAAGTATCAAAATTAAATCAAAGTGACTTGCCATTAGCTAAACATGCCTTTAGACTATAGGAATTTTGGCTTTCAGAATTAAATTTAATAGTCTATTTTGCAGCAGCTCTTAGGCTCCCGGGTTTTCCCACATGGGTGCCTGTTTTTAGGGGACAAAGGAGACCTAACCCACAATTGTAATGTAACTTTGTGTTGATTGTGAACAACAAAAGCTGGTAGCATCACCTAAGGACATTGAGGCTGTGACATATAGTTACATATTGATTACTACATTCTTGAAGCAATTTTAAATTTTATTCATTATCTGTGTGTGTGGGTCGATGCTATGTGAGTTCACACTTGCTCATGAGAGAGGAAGAGCATCCACACATGCTTGCCACATAGTGCTCAGAGCACAGTTTTTAATAGCCATTTCTTTCCTTTCACCTTGTGGATTCTGGGGATCAAACTCAAGTCATCAGGTTGGAGCAGCAACCTCTTCCACCCAGTAAGCCATCTTGCTAGGCTTATTAATGCATTTTAAAATAAACTACTAATGTAGAGAGTGATTAATATTATTCATAATGAACTCATTTAAATTTCCATGTATCTTGTATTTTTTTTTATTTTTTTAAGGTTGCTGAAATTGTTTTGTATATAAGTGAAGCCTGCTTGGGATGTAGCTATAAATGGACTTTCCTTTCTACCGCCAGCTCCAAATAATGACACTGAGACTACTTATTAATTATGAAGGCTTGACCTTTGGCTTAGGTTTGTCTCAACTAGCTCTTACAACTTAAATTAACCCATTTATAATAATCTACATTCTGTCACATAGCACTGTCTTTATTTTATGTTGCACCTCCTGTTTTCCCTCTGTCTCACTGGTGACTTCACATTCCTTCTTCTTCCCTGTGTCCTCAAAGTTATACCTAATCTCTTTCTACCTATTTGTTGTTTTGTTTTCATGTCTGTAACCAAGATTTTCAGGTCTCACCCAATAAAATCTGATCTTGATTAATTTTTAAGAGAACCATAACTGAATAAATGAATAACTTCTCCCCCAATGCAACATATTTTCTGATTTATAGTTTGAAGTCAAGATATTCTTGAAGTATATAGATTGGTTTAATTTAGCAGTTTCCAAAATCCAGTGTCTCTCAGTAGCTATTTTTTTTTACGTTGAATTAAAAAAAAAATCAAAGTCAACAAAGCACCACATAGGATCCAGACACCCTGTGTATTCCCCATCTTTATTTGGCTTATTCTTTTTATATTGCTTTGTTCTTTCTTTAAAGACTTGACTTTATAGTTTTTAAAGTATTTTTCCATGACTATCTATACCCATTTTCTTTTCTTTCTTTAGCATCTAAATGCATTTTAAAAATACTATGTCTTTTTAGAGGTTCCTGTGTCTGGACCTGGCTGCACAAAGTACTTGCAGTATTTTCTGACCACTTAAGTGACAAATCTTAAACTGCCATGTCAGTTATCCTATGCCTCGGCTTAGTACATGGTGCCTGAACATGGTGCAGGCTGGCTCAAACCCACAGGCAGTGAGTGGCTAGTAGCTGAACCTCTGTACTCTAAACACCAGCCCACCTGAGAGATTGCAGGACTGGGAACCCATGTTTGGCTCCTTGTCAGAACTTTTCTTAGCTTTCTCCAGCTCTATGTTTGGATATTTGAGGCCCTACATTGGGCTCCTTATGGAGATGGACTTCCTTTTCTGCCACCAGCCTTAAATAATGAAATGGAGACTTTGTATTAATTACGAAAGCATGACTTTTAACTTAGGCTTTTCTCAACTAGCTCTTATAACTTAAATTAACCCATTTATGTTAATCTACATTCTGTCATGTGGCATTACCTCTCTTTCATCCTACACCTCTGTTTCCTCTCCATCTGGCTGGTGACTCCATCCTCCTCCTCCTTCCCAGAGTCCTCTCTGTCCCCAGAAGTCCCACCTAACACTTTCTAGCAATTGGCCATTCAGTTTTTTTTTTTTTAAATACCAATCACAGCAATATATTTTCACACAGTATACAAATATCCCACAATATTTAGCTCAAGTCCTGAAGTGCTTGTGTAACTTGCATGAAGCTCTGGGATCAGTCTGTAGCACTGTATATCCTAGCTGTGGCAGTGCAAGCTAGTAATCCCAGCACTGGACAGGAGAAGGTAGCAGAATAAGAAGCTTCATGCCACCCTTCCTTAGATAGACAGTTCAAAGCAAGCATGGATTACAGGAGACCCTCTATCAAAGAGAAAAGACTTAAATACATATAGATCTGAAAGCCAGGCCTGATGGAATACAGCTAAAAATGTCCATCACCAGGAAAATGGGAAGATGAGAAAAGAAAGTCACACCTTTGAAGCCAGACTTGCTTACACTGTGAGACCACGTGTTAAAAACAGCAAGACAGTTTGTCCTAGTTTCCATATTTTAAAAAATTGCTGAGAGATTTTTTTTTGTCCTGAGGTCAATGCTAACATTAGCTCTGGATAACCAAGTTATTCTATTGAGGAGCCTGTAGGATATATTTATAAGCTTGTATCGCAAACTCTCTGAGCCTAGGTTAACCTAGTACTTTAAAGAAATGGGCTATGCAGTATGATGTCTTCACTTCCTTAGTAACTGGGCCACAGCCTTGATCCATGAAACAAATGATGGACTGTGATTTTTGATTCAAGGTGAACAGACCTGTGTGTAGTACTTGAAAAGACAAATATAGTTCACTCATCTTTTTAGAGAAAATAAATAACTTTTAAGCTAATGACTTGAAAGAGTG